TATAGAGGATGTTCTCAATTTTCATTAGTGGATTATCTATTGTGTGTGGACGCGCGCTGACTTAAAACAAAAATTAAATCGCTCTATTTTTGGTCTGTTCGGGGCCTCAGTCTATTTGGGCCTGTTTCGCCATTGTCAAATTGAATAGGTCAACTTATTCACAAACGGAAAACATTGATGTATCGTCCAACTCGATTATAGTCATTCAATGCTGTGTGCATTTTTTGAAAGAAACTAAAGGATGACATTGAGAAGAAGAAAGGATATATTTTTTTTATAGCAGAATCAGTTGAATTTCATTCGTATACTATTTCGGTTACATTCGAGATTTTACGAATTTGAAATCAAATCTGAAATTCTTGCGAAAAGACAGTTGTTTGGTCTCTCTCAGGTCTTTTAGTTACGAGGAAATTTCACTACATGTTATAATAGTAGAAATGTACAGGGTTGGAAAAAATATTTTGCTAGGGGGGTAACACTAATTTCAAATAGAAGACATAATGAATTTTATATCAAATGAAAGCTCGTCAAAAATGGGGTTTATTGATACCAAATAGTGAGGGTTATGAAAACCTTTTCTACAATGAAAAATTGAAAAATCTACTTGGAAAATCTTAGAAAACGTTAAAAAACTCATTTTTTATATCGAAGAAAAACACTCGGTTTTTCAATACAATTAACTTTTTTTATTATTTTTATTCCCTCAGGCGTTTCGAAATATAATTATTCGATGCAGTTTTTCACAATAAATCCAATAATTATATTTCGAGACGCCTGTGCTAGTAAATATAATAAAAAAAGTTAATTGTATTGAAAAACCGAGTGTTTTTCTTCGATATAAAAAATATGAGTTTTTTAACATTTTCTAAGATTTTCCAAGTAGATTTTTCAATTTTTCATTGTAGAAAAGGTTTTCATAACCCTCATTATTTGGTATCAATAAATCCCATTTTTCACGAGCTTTCATTTGATATAAAATTCATTATCTCTACTATTTGAAATTATAGTGTTACCCCCTGGCAAAATATTTTTTCCAACCCTGTATAGTTCTGGATGTGATCTAGGTACACTGTACATACATGTGTATTGTGAATCTGACGTTTTCTGTCCACTTGAAAACATTGTTAAGCCATTTGATATGTAATATAATCTCGTCAATGTTGAACTAACATCTTTTCAGCATAGAAAAAAAAACCGTTACAATAGGCTTAGAATTGCCTGAAAGGAGAAAAAAACTTTGAGAAAAGTCTGCATTGTCAAGATAAGGGTAAGGATACATACTTACATCGTTACTTTTTGTCAAGGAAGATGACATCATATCTATACAATGAAACGACAGATATTGAGAGAAAGACGGAAGAAAAAAGCGACTAAAACATACGGTGATCTCGATATAAAAATTCTTGAAAAACGATTGATATTGACTTTGAAATTGTATACAAAAGAAAATTTTACTGATAAAATAATGTACAATAAGATATATAAATAATGGTTCGAAGGCTGATCTTAATCTTCAAAAAGGTTGAATTTAGAAAAATAGCGCAGTAATTTTGGGAAAACTTCCTAAAAGAATACGAGAATTATCTTCAAGATTAATTTCATTACTTGAAAAGAAACCTATGCATGAGTATATGAGAAAATTTTTCTATTGGAACTTTTCAACAGATATCGTAGATCGCGAACTTTCAGTTCGTCATTATTATAGTTCTCTGAAACTATCATCAGAAGAATGAAATTTGTTGATGATGATGAAGTAGTGGTTTTATTTTGGTAGATAATCTCACTACGATGACATTGTTATAGACTAGTATTAGAAATGATCTGTATTCAGTTGGAAGAATAAAAGCATTATATTTAATTTGTATATTCACACATTTGAAAATATTGGCCAAATTGTGAAAGTTTATGAGTATCTATTGACGACAGGTAAAGTATACTTCTGTATCTCTGAAATGCATAGACACGAATAAGTAGAATAAGTTCATGTTTTCTACTGTTTTTCATTTCAAAATTTAACAGTTGCTACATCTAACCGAATCAAAATTGATGAAGTATGTCGTACAGTTGCTTTCATATCTTTTGTCTGTTTATGTGATATTCTATATGATAACTAGACAACAGTTGACTTCTGCAATGGTAATTCTGTTTGATTTTACTGTATTGTGTCAGCTGGCTTCTACTACTATTTCAATAAATTTTACAATATGATACTTGTTATGCATTCTAAAAAACTTATTGTATTTTACTGGAGACGTGGTAGCTTTGTAGGATGAGACGCTTTTGTTGAGTCCATCGAAGCCACAATTTCATGGACCTTGGATAAGAACCTCAACTATACTCATAACAATTAGAATAAAGATTATTTTATCTGAGTTTGATAATCGTTTACAAATATCCGCTTATATTTCCGAATTATTTGTATATATGACTAGCACAGCTCTAGTTACTGATTAAAGCTCCTCAAATTCTGAATTTTTTAATCTGGACCAGGTCAATTGAATTTGTCTGGATGCAAACTTGATCGAGTCCAAGTCTATCCACCCGGATCTATACTATCGTTGACATCGAAAAAATCCAGCTTCTAAACAAACAAGCTATCTGACATGAAACCTATGTCTCTTACGAAGAACGACTGCCATAAACAGACTAAACTTAACCTAGATATCTATCCGCATTTTATGGTGACAATCTATGTAAACTTTAATATTTTAATGTAAAACGTCTCCATTTAATAGTGATAATCCGTTTAAAAAGTTCTAGTGGTGACAAAAGCTGTTTACATGTATGTTTTTTCTAACAACAAAAAACCTTTTAGATGCATCTCCTCAGATCAAGAGGCTATATATGTGATAAATCGTCAACCTGATGTGAGTTTAGCAATTTCAAATCTCAGAATCACTAGAAAAAGCTTTATTTCGAAACTTGTATTTTCTAGTATGACTATCTAACTAAGTGTACTACTTTCATTTCACATGTTGTTATTTTGCTCTGATCTTTGGTAAACAATTACCAATGGCCGATAAGAGAAACTCTAATAATTACCTGTTTTGATTATGCACAAGAATGCTGATGCATTTGTATGAAAAAGATAAATAAATCATAATAAGTTGTGAAATAGTTTTGTATTCTCGAATGCTTATTTTTATGTTTCATTGAAGTTAATGAAAAGAGAAAACGCGTCGCTTGCAGTGTTATAAAACATGAACTTTTCATGTGATTGACTCGTAACTTCTATATGAAGTGAGCCTATTGCCCTTTGGTTCACATATTTAGCTCACTTCTATTAGACCTAAAATAGCACTTACTATATCGAACAAACAAATATACGGGTATCCATAAAGTACATTCATTCTTCGGGATGTTCAGATCAAAATAAATCTCTTTTTTTTTTGAGTAAGCGTTTATTCATGTAATTACACTAACTCTTTTCATTAAAGAACATCTTATGTACCGATTTTTGTTATGTGTCAGACAAAAAAAGAAAAAGAGAAAGTTAGTATAAAGCGTCACTAGCTTTAGCAAATATGTAACAATATTTGTATTATTTCAGACAAACAGATAAAGAAAAACTTGCCTAGTGAAGATTACAATTAATGATAGATGACAAAGAACAGAATAATTAAAGAAAAGATCAGATTTGACTGAAGTTCAATGAATCGTGATTTTAAAATCATTGCCAACTCTTTATAATTTATAGTAGTGATGTTCTGCAAAATCTTTCTATTTTCTTCTATCATCGAAGCAACTGATCTACTGTTTATATACTTTATTTATGAATGGCAGTCAAAAAGTACTAATAGTTTTAGTGTAGTTTCTTATAAAAAGTTTTAAGAAACTTTGTCATTATATAGTCTGATAGAGAAAAGAATGTTCTATTTTCCAATGCTAGATGATCATATTTCAACTAATATTATAATAATAAAATGTCGATAAGACTTTTTTTGTATCTTATGCGATGGATAAACGAATATCTATTTAATGAATATTTTTTGAACAGCTTTTGATAGAAGCTAGGTAGTGAGCTGCGATTTTCATCGTTTGAAAGAGGAGATGAACATGCGTCAAATCAAATATTAAAGATTTTTTCATATGATCTTTTTAACATTTTCAATACGCTTCTTTAAACCTAAAATTACTCAGTGAAGTGTTTACAGTAAATTCTCAATTGTCAGGAGTATATTTAAACCGCCAGTGGAAAGTCTACAAAACTGTAGAACGTTCAGATGTTTAGAATTAATAGTTCAATGACTATAAGTATTTTAATAGAATGTCTAACCGGTTTTTTCTGACAATTTCTGTAAATAAAAAGCGTATTTTTTCTTTCTTTTGTTATAAGAAACTATTTTTTCATACTTAGAAAAGATGAGAATAGCAGCTCATTACCTAGCTTCTATCCAAAGGTATTCAAAAAATACTCAAATATTCACTACATAGACATTCGTTTATACGTCACATGGGATACAAAAATAAGTCTTATAGAAATTGTATTATTGTCATATTAGTTGAAATATGATCAAATAGCATTGAAAAATAGAACATTGTTCTCTCTATCAGACTATATAGAGACAAAGTTTCTTAAAACATTTTGTAGCGAGTATGTTTTTTGATTGCCCTATATAGAATGCTGGCTATGTAATCTATTGAATATATTGTCAAATCAACTTGCAAATTTAGCGAAAAACGCCTGCAAAAAAAAAGACACAATATTTGTAATAAGTATCCAGATGTTTATATCGTTTGATATATCTCCCCCCTTTTTTAACTGACATCTCTATGCTGAAATGATATTAAAAAATTCAAATAAAATTTGATTTATTGTTTTTATTTTATTTAATATTTTTATTTCTAATATCACGATTTTTTACACCTATTTGACGATTTCCTGTACAACCTCTTTGATGTTTAGTTATTGCATTTTCTGTAGAAAATTTTCGTTGACATTTTAAACATTGATATGGACGATCATCAGATAATTGAATTGAATCATTAGTTGGATTATATTATCCTTTGATAGCATCTTGAAATTGTTGATGTTTTTCTCTCCAATGAGTTTTTGGAGTATGTATGCTTTTTTGTTTGACATATGATCGACTTGTATTAGTACCATAATCAAGACCTTTCCATCGATGCATTTGACTATTATACTGATAACGATATGAAGAATTTAAATTGTGTTTTTTTGATCGTTTACAAGCTTGTTCATGTTCATTTAAACGATTTTGAGTAAAACGACGATTACATATTGAACATTTTTCAAGACTGGTTATTGATGAAATTTGTTGATTGACTCAAAAATAAAAATAAATAACGGATATTTAGAAATATACTATTTTCAAAAGACTAATGCAATCCCATTTAAAGACTAAGAGCAACAAAAACAGAACATTATTTTTTATTTTATATGAAATAGAATTTAATTACTTTTTTTTAAATAAGGAATATCATGAAACCATAATAGCACTAATTAAATGTAAGACTAAGAATGAATGTTTGAAAAATCTCAACAAATAACATACTATTCATGATTAATAGTGAAATCATTCTGTTTTCGTCTATTTTCTCATACAGTTAATTAATTTGGCAAGAATATGAAAATACTTCAAAGTAGATTATAAGCTTAGACAAGCTTTCTCTAATATTTTCAATTGATGTCAGTCAACAATGTTGACTCCACATTAGTATACTTGTATAATTATCAAAAGTGCTTTTTTGTTTTCATAAATTTTTCTTCTTCATTATATTTATTATCAAAATTCTTGAACTCATGTTAAGTACTTTTGATAATATGCATGTTTCTCAAATTCTTGAGGTGGTATATGACTTTTGTGATAACACGTTTCGTTTTGTTTCGAATGATAAAAACAATACTATATATATAAAATTTTTTTTTTTTTTTTAACAGCAGCAAAGATTTGTAACTACACAATGTATCAAGAAAGACTATCATTTTTGACAGAATTTACTTTTGCAGTTTTTCTGCAAAAGTAAATTCTGTCAAAAATGATAGTCTTTCTTGATACATTGTGTAGTTACAAATCTTTGCTGCTGTTAAAAAAAATTTTATATATTTAATTCTAAAGTCGCTCACTCACTTACGTTATTTTCAGCTGTAAAAGGATTTGGTATTCCAACTGACTACCATAAAGGACATGAACCGATGCTAGATGAGTATTATTTTAATAAAGTAAGTCTATAGTATTTGATTGTTCTTATATGAATGTAAAATAAACTATTGATAGAATAAGACTGATGGAAATGAGCAAACGGCAACAAATAAGTTACATCAAACTGATAAAATTTGAATTACTGTTGCCTTATTCTAGAACAACAAATGGATGATTCGAAGAAGAATACTACAGATAATATAATTTATGATGAAAATATTTATCAAGATGAATCTTCTGATTGACATTCCAATTAAATTTATCTCTTCAACATCGAATGACACGAAACATGTTTCTCTTTATTCATATATATATATATATATATCTGAAAATGTTCTTTTTTTTCCACTATTAACTATGATACTGTGTAATATAAATCTATATATACTTTAGTTACATAATCTTTTTTGTCATTCTAATGATCGATGTATCTAAAAATTTAAAACTTTTGAAAAAAAAATGCAGAAAAACTTTTTCATTATGTTGTTTATTTATTTGGCTCGTAGACATTTTATAAAGATAAAGGTGACTATTTCTGTGTCTATATATGTGATCCTACTCCCGATCGATCATAAAAATGTCAAAAAGAAGCTGTTGAATTTGAACCGATATCAAACAAATCAAGATATATAAGGTGTGGGTAATGCAAAAATCGACTACAATTTTGTTCTTGGATATTTTTACATGGTTCGATAGAGTTGTCCGGTTCTAAGAAACTGTGTATATTTGAAATTTTTTTCGACTATTTGTTTGTGATAACAATTTCAAAAAACTATTTAAAAAAATCCGATTTTTTCTTTTGATTTTGTTGTATAGAAAAAAAAAAAAGTCAATTTTTCAAGAAATTCAGCTATTTTTCATCAGCATTACCATGTAAGGAGATTGAAAATAGATTTATTTGATGCAGTACGAAAAGCTGCATCTAATGATATGGACTCCAAAGCATTGGCATGTAAACTTCTGAGATAATTATTCAGCATAAGAAGGCATCTTCGTCAAGAAAGCGATTGAACTACGCAAAAAAATCATCAACTCTTGCTAGAATCATTCTTTATCCTATAATTTTATCTCATTTTACACATCATGTGATGGGACAAAAAGTTATGTATCCGTTTGAAAAAATACTTTACTGATGATCATATTTATAAATTTAATCGATTAGGAATATTTATTTATGAATGTATACTCATACATTATATGAAATTATCATTATGACGATAAGAAGAATATCGATGCATTCACAAATTTAATAGTATGATGTAGAGATGAAAACGAGTTTTATAATCATAGAATGTGTATACACATTCTTTCGTCTTTTTTTTGTGTACTCAAAAAGTGAGTACACTCTAGAATCGGTCAGTGTGTCCGTCCGTCCGTCCGTGTACACAATAACTCTTCACAATTACATCCGATTGAGCTGAAATTTTGTGCACAGAATTGTCTCATCAATATCTCAATGGAGTTCGAAGATGAGAAGGATCCGTCAAGAAATGGCTGGGTTATCCCTGAGGGGGGGGGGGGTAGAGGGATTTTTTTCAAAAAAAATACTTTTCTCAAAATTA